GTAACGAAACACGTACCGTACACCGTGGAAAAGCACGTTCCCTACCCGGTCAAAGTTCCAGTGGACCGTCCTTATCCGGTGACAGTGGAGAAGCACGTGCCGTACCCCGTCGACAAACCAGTGCCGTACACTGTCGAGAAAGCAGTACCGTACCCAGTCAAGTTTCCAGTCAAAGTCGAAGTCCCTGTTCCATACGAAGTGCCACACCACCACGAAGAACACTCGTACGGTGGACACGGAAGCCACAGTTATTAACTGGAATAAAAGTTATATTTTTTTTGTAAATTTGTATACTTGTAACTTAAACCTTAATTCGATTTAACCATTGTAATATACTTTGTACATGAAACTCATATAATTTTTTATAAAGAATAAATACCGTGTTTTAACTTGATATAAGCTTACTTTTGTTACATATTTTCCCACTGAACCCCTTGTTTTAGAAATCTAGTGATATTTATATAACTAAGTAACTATTTTGGTAATCGTAAATATTTATTCTATAGAAAATGCATGATATATGATAACCCGATCTGCAATCTCTCGTTAAGAATCTTAATTGAAGCCATAGCAGAATATGATGTTTGCCAAGAGATACAAATTGATTCCCATCACTATAACATCAACCCTAGTAACGGTGTGGTATGCCTATATTTCCCTATATTGCCTATATAAGTTGTCCAATTATTTTTTTTTAAGTGAATATAAATTTAAGATTTCTCAGTTTTTAAATATTTTACTTGTTTAATAATTATGTAATGTTTTAAAAACCTGGGAGGAGATGCAATGCATTATGGTCCCCATGTTAATATTATAAATCAATAATTTTTATKAAGATAATATTGATGGATTGCGAACAGTGTGTTTATAAACAACCACATTTCATTTTTTAATGATGYACTTTTTCTTTTTTTCTTTTTTTATTTATTGATCTATTCAATGTGTTTAAATATAATTCACATAATAATTTAATTTGTAATCACATTCGAGATTATAGTTTGTATTTCTGAACAATAAATTACCATGGGTATTTTATTAGCATTAGTTTTAGATCATGATGTTTTTAAATTACTTAATATGACATTAGAGTTTAATTTGCTACGGTCACTGCTTATAACTGCATAGATCGAAATAAGTAAAGCGTATCTCGTATTGGGTATATGTATACTCGTGTTGTATAACTTATGTATGAAATAATAATAATAGAATTGTTTTAAATATTTTACTGTCTATRAACTTTTTCTAGAGGTTTTTAAAGATCTTGAAACTATTTTCAATACTGTAATTATCTATTACAAATTCACACATATGATATTTAATCACTGAAATACATCATGTAAATGGGAAAAATAGTGGAACAAAAATTAYGGCAACTATTATATAATTGTAGTTATAAACACCTGGTAAAAAACAATTAGTTATTGTGATTACTACCATATAGTTATATCACAACTAGAAACTTATATATAAGATATAACTACTGTTATTGTTATTTGTATTTTGTCAAAATATTAATAAAAAAAAAAAATGTGCTTATAAACGTATTAATAATTCTATTTTAATTCATTAATTGTTTAAGAGTAGATTATTAATATAAAAGTTGATTTATTGATGCTTATTGTTATGAGTAACAATATTTAAARTTTATTATTTATTTTTAAATATTATATTGTTTTATATTTTTTTATATTATAATATTATATTATAATGTCTTTTATTTACACGGGGAAGTAATGATGTGCCTGTGGTCGAATTTTAAAATGACAGCTTTAATAAATAAATTATCATTATTAATCGTCATATATTGATTAAATCATATTGATATGAATTTATCTATGATTAATTAGTTTTCAATATCTTATATTGTTTCAAATATATTGCTCAAGACTATATTATAGACAAAATACATAACTATAATTTGTCGAAAAATATTTAAACGCTCGAATATTTTTTGAGCTCTTCAAGTTGAACAAATTGTGTAACACTGATTTTAGTGAATAAACTTGTCTAAAAAATAAATGTCGTCTTCCAGTAAGCTGTAGACATCAATAAGGAGAAACATATTCAGAGATCAACGCAAACAGAATAATACATATTTTATCTTAAATTATTTTGTAAAATTGAAAAAAAAAATAGATTTTAATATAAAATAAGTCTTTATTTGATTATTCATTAAATCTATTTACATAATATTCGTTTACAATCAAGGTAGATATAACATTTGATTTCGATAGCAGTAACACAAAATCTAACCTAACTAAAATAATATAATATGGTAATGATTTATGACTAGGCAGAAAAAAAGAATTAAAAGAGTTATTGATAATTACTATTCTCTTGTTCGCCTTCTTCCTYTTGTTGTTGTGATTGTTCTGAGTGTTCGTCAGATTGTTGTGATTGCTCATCACTATTATCTTGTTTTTGTAGTTGTTCTTCGTATTTATATTGTTGTTGTTTATGTGGTTTCAGTTGGTACACGTACTGCTGTTGTGGTTGCGACTGTTCTTCAGGTTCATATTGTTGTGGTTGCGACTGTTCTTCAGGTTCATATTGTTGTGGTTGTGACTGTACTTTTGGCTCATATTTTTGTTGAGGTTGTTCTTCGGGTTCATATTGTTGTGCTTGTGATTGTACTTTTGATTCATATTGTTGTTGTTGAGRTTGTTCTTCGGGTTCATATTGTTGTGCTTGTGACACTACTTTTGATTCATATTGTTGTTGTTGAGATTGTTCTTCGGGTTCATATTGTTGTGCTTGTGATTGTACTTTTAATTCATATTGTTGTAGTTGAGATTGTTCTTCGGGCTCAWATTGTTGTACTTGTGACTGTATTTCTGGTTTATAATGTTGTGGTTGAGATTGTTCTTCGGGTACGTACTGCTGTTGTTGCAGTTGTTCTTCAGGTTCGTACTGTTGTTGCTGTTGTTCTACTTCTTCTTTACGTAGCTTTGGCCAAAATAATTTTTGTTCGTGGCCTTTTACTTCGTAAGGTACCGGGACTTCAACTTTGACAGGAACTTTGACTGGGTACGGCACTCGTTTCTCAACGGGATAAGGCACCGGTTTGTCAACGGGATACGGCACGTGCTTTTCGACAGTCACTTGGTATGGGCGGTCAACTGGTACTTTGACTAGATAGGGAACGGGTTTTTCGACGGTGTACGGGATGTGTTTATCCACGGGAACTTTCACGGTGTACGGCTTGTCAACGAAAACCTTGACTGGATAAGGGACGTGCTTGACGACTTCATATGGGACACGCTTCTCCACGTAAACAGTATACGGTTTGGGCACGTGCACGGTATACGGCTTGTCAACTGGGTACTTGACTTCGTACGGGACGTGCTTGTAGACGGTGTACGGTTGCGGTACGTTGACTTTGACCTCATACGGTACGGGCTTGTTGACGTGTACCGGATATGGTTTGGGCACGTGCACCGGGTAAGAGCGGTCGACAGGCACCTCGACCTTTACCGGGTACGGTACTCGTTTTTCGACTTCGACGGGGTACGGTTGGGCCACCTCCTGGATGATCGTTTTGGCGATTACTCTCTGTTCGTGCCCGTGCTGGAAATGTGCACCGTGTACTACGTTACTGTAACTGGTGGCACCGAAACCATAACCGGTGTCGATGACGCCTCTCTTGTCGTGTCCTTTGTCGTCGTCCGTCGTCACAGTCGTCACCGCTGCCAGAGTTGTCGTCGCCGAAGTGTTCTCCTCGGTCTCGTTAGTCTGCACCTCCACCCCGCCAGCGACGAATACGCACAGCCCGACGACGTACGTCATTCGCATCAACATTACAGTCATTATTATGAAAACTTACTCAGTGCTCGCCAATGGGTAGGTACGTTCTATGTGAACGCAGCGATGGACTGATGTCCGTTGGTYCACACGCTCGGCTTTTTGTACTGTGTGTTGTGTGATCTAACATTATACCACGGTTCACCTAGGAACTCTGTTGTAGAGATGATTTCCTCCTCCTCTAGCGTTTTCCGCTCTAATCTACTTTCTAATCTCGACGAATTGTCACATAATAATATTATTATTACAATGTCATAACACGTTTTAGAATAAACGATAGTTTTATACCAACGAACTTTATTAGTGCGTGATACGAAAAACGTACGTCTAATTAAAGCGCCTTAATAATAGTGTTAGTTACATGTATTATAAATTATCATGCTGTTGATGTTGTTGTTGTTTTTGTTGTTGCTCTACCTATGTTTTATACTATATAGTACCACATCCGAAACTGCGTTYATTAAATCAGTATTAGAATCGTATATTATTTATTAAATTTTTATAATATGTTGTGTCCAAACATTGAAATAGCAGTTAAAAATAAGAGTTTCAATCTAATATTTATGGGACACACAATACATACCACATTATTTTATAATTTAAATTCCTTCATTAATTTAATAGTTTTTTTTTTTTAACATATCGTCATAACTAGTTGTTTTGATAAAAAAAACAAATATTAAATATTAAATAAATATTTGAAGTTTAAGTTTACCTATTTTTTATCATTATTTAAAGCCCGTATTAAATAAATAAAATCGAATAACTGATTTCACCACAGTAATTATTCTCAACATTAACCGTTCATTTTATTTGTATGATATAAAAAAACATCATAATATTAATTATCTTTTGTTTAAATATGATCATTAGTAGGTATGTTGTTATGGTTTTTTTAAACACATGTTATAAAATCATGAGTGCTATGAATGATAAAATATGCAAATAATCAATTAATCGTAACGATAGAGAATTTACACATAATATTTTCGAGTTAAAMAATTATTAAAATATGCATTAGAATTAGATAATTGATTGTTATGTAAATTAATAATAATTAATAAATATATTAATAATAATTTATTAATTTAATAAAAGCAACCGTGCTAATATAAAAGATATTATACTATGTTTTTGTTGTAGTTTTATTGCATTTATACAAGAATCTGTTATGTTACCGCTATGTTTTTTATTATTTCAAGTAATCAACTTTGTCTTTTGGATTTTAATCATGTTGCTATAAATATAAAAACAATAACTTTTTAATAGGTAAATACAAATGGTAAAATAATAATGTACGAACTATATTGTACTTGTTAAATAAGTGAATTAATTATACTTCTGAAACTAATATGTTATAGACGTAGAAGAAATTGGGTTGAAAGGCATAAGTCTACTTAGTCCCCTCTTAAAAGTTTTTAGGGCTTAACCACCTCAAAGTATGTACATAATTATTATTTATCTTTCTAATTGCATAATATTCACAGATATTGAAGCATGAATGATGAATTTTAAGAAATAAAAACTTCCTGAAATAAATTCACTTTTAAAAATTACTTCATTCCCTTAAAATAAATGGTTTGTCAGTTCTCGGTGACTTAAGATTCATGATATTGAATATTGATTTATTATAACTAAACAACTATAATAATTGCAAATGCAAGTAAAAAGTTAATATAAAGCACAGTAAATATTCTAAAAAAACAAAAAAAAAAAACTTTATTATATTATCAGTATTATAATAAACAATATTAATGATTCAGGTATTAAGAATTTTTGAAACGATCCTAGACCTAGTGGAGATGTAGAATTCTAGTTATTAGTTACTACAATTATAAATTAATTATTATTTACTCCAAATTTTACTAATTAATTTACTATCATAGTCTGTTTCAAACTGACTATCTACAATTTCAATGATAATAATAATATTTTTATATTTATTCAATCTCTTAAAAATAAACGTGTGAACTCATATAATGCTTCAAAATCTATTAGGATAACCTGATGTTAAAATAATTGTGATTGACAGATATCAAATAAACTTTAGTTTTATGTTGCAATATATTTCGTTTACGTAATTTCTGAACTTAACAACTTATATTCAATTTTATGCATTAAATTAATTTATTACAATATATACACTATATTGATAACAAATACGTATGACAATATTGTTATACATAAAATGAATTTAAAAAAAATAATTGATAGTTGATAGCACCGTGCGAGAAGCCTGCAGGAACATACATGCGTACGCTATTTGAGTAATAATATATTTCTATGTCAATAAAATTATTTAAACAAATCAATATGAAATAAAATATATATTTTAACCGAAAACTGCTTATTAAGTATCTAAACCTACAATCTACATTAATTATCCTTCGTTATTCGATACATACTAGTACAACGTGTTTTATTACCATCTAACATAATACTCTATGTTATCCGTTTGTTTTGAAATATRATTTTAATCGATACATGATTGTAATTATTTAAGTACCTATAATATAATATTTATGATACTATATTATTATATATTATTAAATAGGTATTTAATTATTTTATAATGATGATTTTGTTATACAMTAAATACTTAATTACCTAGTTTATAAAAACCAGCGAGACAAAAAAGCCATAACCATAATCAAGTCAAAATTGAAAAACGAGTATATTAAAATACAATGTTGTGAATATAAGAGCAGGCTTTATTTTTCAAATCTTTTTCATTCTACCGACTTGAGTTAAATGCTTTTTAAACATAAGTATGTATTTTTTAAAATAAAAACTATTAAGTGTACCTACGTTTATTATACCTACATACGTTCCTCATATTATTTATTCAGGTTTTAAGTTTATTACAATATTTTTTATGAATAAAACGTTATTTTACTAACATCTTTCTACTCTGTGCAATRCTTACATAATAAGCTCAAATCGTTTGCTTGACTTTTCAAAGAACATAATATACTATTAAGTATCTGTTTCCATAATATATTAATATTAATGATACGCCTGCTTCGATATATGAACTGTAATGTACAAAAAATAAAACCACTATAGGGATCCAATTATTATTGGAGAATGGATCGATATAAATAATATGATATATAATATACAGTATAAAGCAAAATCACTTTGATTTCGAGTTGTATAGTTGTATAATAGTTATATATATATGTATATATATATATTTATTATATGAATAATACAGCATAAAAAAATTGTATATTTTTACATAATATAATATAATATTTATAATAAGTTCAATATATTCTAAATGGTGAATATAACGAATGATTATAGGTAKGTAAAAGTATACGTATTCGTCGTATTCAATATTTATGACTATAACTATGGTGGTTTGCATTTTTTTCGAAACATCATCCTGCAGGTTTGTTGCCAGATAATTCATAGCTTTGCGGTCTCCACGAATTGTATGTAAAGGGCTTTCCGTCTGAGTACCAGCTGTATGGTATGGTACTGAAACATTGACTATTACCGGAACCTTTACCTGGTACGGTATTGGCTTATGCACAACATATGGAACCGGCTTCTGTACAGTGTACGGTCCTGCATGGTTTTCGACGATTACCTGGTACTGACGGTCGATCRACGGACATGGTGATTGGGTATGGAATCGGCCTTTCTACCATGTACGGTACGTGCGTCTCGTAAGGTATGACCACGGTATAYAATTTGTCAATGGGTACCTTGACTTTATACGGGATTTGTTTGTAGACGGTGTATAATATGGTTGCGGCACATTGCCTTATCGGCTTTTCAACCGACACCGGGCATGGCTTGGGCACGTGCAAAGGGTAAGACGGTCGACGGTCGACGGAAACTTTGACCTTTACCAGGTATGGTATGTGTATCTCCATCTCGACCAAGTACGGTTGGATCATCTCCTTTTCGACAGTCTGGTACTGGACTTTTGCGGGCTCTTCTGATAGATCTTCAATTTKTGCTTCTTGGACTTGACCACCTTGTAAATCATACAATTCTAGAATGTTTATAGCTAAACCATGAATTATCTTGGTTAAGTAGCACTGATTGTCCATATCTACTTTGATCGTGCGTCTCTTGTTTTATTACTGCTACTAATCGGCCATGTGTTCCTTGATCGTTTTTCAACGTTCCTTGATTTGGTGGAACACCTTGTCCATACGCGCTTTGGTCGTATCCTCCTTAGTCAAATTTTCCTTGGCCGTATGTTCCTTGATCAGTTAATATTTGGTTAATTTGCACTCCTTGGCTACTGTCAGTATTGTATGTACTCCTCTTGATAACTTCATTTTAATTCGTTTTACATTCAACCGATCGATTGATGGTCGTTCATCCGTTGCTTCTGCTTTTGTTGTAACACGCGAGGAATACCTTAAAAAAKAAATTTATTATTTCCTACTATTACCTCTACACAAGATATGTAAAAAATACTTTCTACTGCAGTACTGGTTTTAAGTTAGGTTTTTTATTATATTTATAATCCGGTGATAGTCTAAATGTTTCATTTTATTATCATGACCGTAATAACATCATATACTCGTTTTATAATGTCATCGCAAAAAATAAGCAAATAGAAATATGTATAATTGAAACGTAAGTAACTGGGAAAATKTTCGTCAAAACGGCAACAGACGTATTTAATATTATCAATTAATTTTCATGTGTCAGATGTATAATATGTTATTAAATAGTTTGTTTGTTAATTTGATTGTACTATTTATTATTATCTTTATATTTAATGTGGCTGATCCTAATCAACTGGAGTGTTTTATGCACCTACAACAAGCAATTGCCCCTATTTTCTTCATTTTGTCTATGAAGTCCTCTATGAAGTCATTATGATCTACTGCTGCGAAATTTGAAACTCTTGTAGCTTGTCCCCTAACTATAATTATGATATAATGATATATAAATATTTCTTTCATTCATTGTGTTAAATGTCAAATCTACAAACTGTTAGAATACTTCTAGATTAACACAGGGGCGGTTTTTATCACTCACCAAGGAGGGGGGGGCTAATTGAGGCTCAAGAATTTTCGTAGTTGTATTTTAAATTTATATAA